ATACCATAATCTACAAACATGGTAAGCGTACGTGTCACATTAAAATTAAAAGGGAGCGAAAAAATTTATTAAAATGTGATCATTTAATTTAACGTTTCTAATAAAACAATTAGTCCACTCGTGCTTGTTGGATATGAGATGATTATAGCCAACTTGGCGCTACACGCCTCGTTGGCTATCTATTATCTCATATCCAACACATGCTCATGGAATAATTGTTCATTAGACATTTTTAACATTTTCTATTACATTGCTCACTTTGTTTCCGAGATATCTAGCACCTCAAAAAAAAGAGAGAGAAGAACTTTACAGGTTAAAAACAAAATAAAAAGATTTACAATATTTACCTCTACTTCACAGTTAAGTCCTTGACTCTGGCATACATCTCTTATTTCATAAACTGTTGGATTGTCGGCAGCCTTAGGAATACAAATTAAAACCGACAAAAACGTACGTACATTTTTAGCTTTCATGAATTTTAGCAGTGATACTAGATCCATAATATATAACCATGATCGTCATACCTACGTTAGATTCACATCAAGATCTACCAGAAAAAACATCTTTAGAGTTCACAAATGAATTCTCAAAGCTTTCAGGAAGGATTTTACATCAAGCTTTTAATTTTATGTACCTTTTCTTTAGGAACACGTCGTCCTTGTTGAACTGTTCTTCTGCTATTCAAATAAGCTGGGTAAACCACGATCCATCTGAAATATGACCAACACACAGCTTTAAAAAACATTAATCTTAGCTGAAAAAATAGAAATGAGAGGCGAATGAAGATGAAGGATGGTAAATTAAAGCTTTTACCGATCTTTGGAAGCTGGATCAGTACTCAAATGCGCCATGTTGAATTAAACGATTGTTCCGCTGGTCAGATAAACTGTGGAACATATTTGAGCCCGCATGCAATTTTGGCATAAGTTAGCGTTTTTCAGTAGTACCAAAACCGTTGGAGTAAAAAACCAAAATGTTATGTTATTAGTTGGAATTTTCTCTCGTATGGAATATTTTTTCTTGACGTTTGAGGGTAGATCTGCAACTGCCTAACAGTTTTTCTATCGTGGATGTCATGCAAATCGCTAGAAAGTTCCTTGGGGCTGCACTGTTGTGATCCCTTGGCAAAAGCGCGCCAGATATGGCCATGATTGAGACAGTCCGTCAGAGACAGAAGAACTCCGTTGACTTCGCATCTTGCTACGATAATCTGTGTGCTTTGCAGAACTCTTGTCCTCTGGGATCAATCACTGCGAACCTAGATGAACTCATCATTGATTGCAATGCCGATCGGATCCGCCATTCGGACTGGACGCCGATCTTGAACGCGCTAAAGATCAACAAGACTTTAAAAAGTGTCGCATTCAGGAGTTATTGGCAGCAAACGCTTTATCCAGATGAAGGTATGCAATATTGAACTTGATGCGACAGTACACATTGTTTAATTCTAACACTCAGCGCTTTAACAGTACTGAATTATTCCGAGATATACCCAGGTGTTCAAATGGGTACCGGCGAATTTAATGCTAGTGGGTAACCCTGCGATGGACTAGCATCTCATCCAGGGGGGTAGAAATATTCCTAGTCATTTCATACTATGGGAACTGGAGTTAAGTGCTGGCCTGATGGGCCACTTGCCTCGTAAAAAGACTTAGCCTTTTACAACATCAGATACCAACAGATACCAATCACCTACCAGGAATCTGAAACCTGGAGACGCCTGGTTTTTGATCATGTCCTCCGAGTCTAGAGGTCTGGGTTAGAGACTTAGCCGGGTCATTGTGTAGCCTGCTTGTAAGTGATAGTTTGTGTTTTCGAGTGTGAAACTTAGTGCGGCGAATATTCAGTTGCCATATTGGATTGGTGGATTTAGATCTCGCATAATTGACAAAGTGAGGGGGAGGAATGAAGGGGAGAAAAAAAAAAACTAGTTTTTCTCTCCTTTGCCCTCCCCCCTCCCTTTGTCACTTATCACAAATCTTCCACCTGTCCAATATGGCAACTGAAAACTCACCGTACCGTATCTTGCGCTTGAAAACATATACCACTGTCTACAAGCAGGCTACAGCAGCTATAGTTGTTGTGTTGTGTTCTTTGGCAAGTCACTTTACTCTCACAGAATGTTTTTCCATGCAGGAGTATTATAGGTACTGAAGTATTGTCAGGGAAGCCTGATGAAATATTGGGGGGTTACCCTGGGACAAACTAGCATCCCATCCAGGGGAGAGTAGTACCAGTAATATTATACCCCCCCGTTGCTTCATGTTATGGAAACAGGGATAGGGTTTGCATGGATGAAAAAATTGGCTCAAGCACTTTTTTTTTAGCCTTCCCTCTCTCATGCCACACACCCTTAGTAAATATAATAATAATAATACTAATAATAATAATAATAATAATAATAATTTATCAATATATAGTGCACTTTTTACAGGCAATGATCAAAAGCACATTACACTTTTGATTAAATTAAAAGTTGACTTAAACATGTCAAACTGAGAATAGAACTGAATATAAAATTGCTCACCGATAAAATGTTTTAAAAAGATAAGTCCTAACATGTGCCTTAAAACTGTTCACATAAGTAATCGCACGAAGTTCTTTTGGAAATATCTCTTGCTTTGACCAGCTGTGTGGAGCTATTGCTAAATAACAGAGCAACTTTTTCAGTATTCATGATCAGTATTAGAAAAGTACATACATTATGAATTTATCCAACTTTATTTTCTGAATGGTCATTATACATTCAAGCCTGGAGAATTTTTCAAATACTATGAAGATTCTCTGGCTAAACTTCCATTACCTGAGCCATTTTATTTTTTTTTTAATAACTTGGATATATCAACAAAGTTGAAGTGGTAAATTGGCCACCGTAACGATTACAAAAGCTGACATTTCGAGCATTAGCCCTTCGTCGGAGCGAATAGTAATGGTTTTTGTAATTGCTTTTGTAATCGTTACGGTGGCCAATTTACCACTTCAACTTTGTTGATATATCCAAGTTATTTCATTACTCTCACCGACGCAGCCCCAAACAGTTTCTTTCAAAACTATCAGCCTTTATTTATTTTTTTTTAGACAAGGAGAATATTATCCTCTCTCTGACTCTTTACACTGTCCTCCTGCTACAAATTTACTTGATGAAAATGCAGTATAAACTTGTGGAAAGTCACTCGTTGCATAAATTATCTTAATCTCTTATTCAATCAGAAGTAACAGAGCAACGTTTACAAGCACTGAGGAAGAAAGCACCTGCAATCCGCAGCAAGGATATCACATACAGGGTCTGCAGGTACGGTAGTTATAAACTATCCAGCTTCCCCCCTTTTGAAGTCTGAAAATTGTTTTTTTTTTTTTCATTACTTTATAAGAAAGAATATATTCATTTGCTGGGCCATAACAGCCATTACTTTCCTCCTGCTGCTTTCATAGTGGTGCCCGGTAACTAGATCTCTACTTAACAATTATTTGCCGAAGGCAAGGTGAATATTGCCGAGTAATCCCTGAGATGAAGTCAATTATTCACCGAACCTGAGGCAAATAATTGTTTTAGTATAATTTTTTCTTTTTTTATTAATTTGTATTTTTTTAATCATATAGTAGATATTGTAAAGCACTATGAAGTAGTCGACTTAGCGCTATATAAATGCGTGATATTATTATTATTAGTTTTAGCATTATTATTATTTCAGAGCTGAACAACAGAGAAATTTCTAAACTCATACCATTTTAGTAACATTTATTAACATTTTATTTTAACATTTTTATATAAACCTTGTGGAGCAGTTTATATAGCATCATGTAAGGAGCCGCTCGACCAATCAGATTGCTGGAAACTCCTTGCTCAGCTCTGAAATTATACTAAAAGAGAATACAAATTCCCACTTATCATTAACCTTTGAACTCCTATGATCTGATTGTTAACTCTCCCCTCTGGTTGCTACACATTTCCTTGTTAATTAATGACAAGAACTTGATGTTAGATCAAGAGAACAACTTCTACCTGATAAGTTTGTGTGTTCTCGTTACCTGTTTACTGGATAATGTATGGATATTACACGGAGAAGTTTCATGTCAATCACTTCTGGTAGTTAAAGAGTTTAAAGAGATCCGAGCTTTAGCTTTTCCTGTGTATCAATTTACCATTAAAAAAGCAACTCTTCAAAACAACTTTACAGTATTCTCCAATTTTACTCCCCTATTGCATCAACTTAACTGGTTGTCAGTGAACCAGACACTACAACTTAGAGATACAGTTATGGCCTATAAGTGTGCCAATAACTTAGCACCCAACTACTTATGTAACAAGTTACAAAAACACACCACCATACATGATCGAGCCTCGCAGCATAGCAACAAACTTCAGATCCCTTTTTATAAGTCCGCGAACAGTCAACGAACCTTTGCCTTTAGAGCAGTTTCACTATTAAATTCCCTGAGTAGTGACCTAGTGAACTTGCCTTCAGTAAAGTCACTGAAACATCCTATGAAGGACTCCCTTAGAGGGGCACATTAATAGTCTTTGTATGATACCCATTGGACATATGTATATATAATATATCTTTCATTTTTAGTACCCTATTTTAAGTTCATTTAGGATTGTAAATTGTCTACAATAATTGTAAATAGTTGCTGAAAAGCCTGTACAGGAATAATTATTAAAGTTCATTCATTCATTTTAAGGGTTGGTAATTTTAAAGCAAGCTCAGTGATCTACTATTATTTTTTTTTTCTTGAACTGCAGTTAGCATATCTAAACCACTTCTTTTTGGAGGTGTTTAAGTTATATCCATTATGTAATTTGTTGACTTATTTTCACATTCTTAGTTTCACTTAGTCTATTAATAAACAATTACATTATTAAAACACTATTCTTACTATGAATTTTGCAGGGCAGTTAAAGAGTGTTTAGCTGTTACAGAGAATCTGACTTCTTTGAATTTTGAAGGAATTCCGCTGAGAGAAAGAGACCTGACATGCCTGGCAAAGGTATGATTTGCAATAGTTGAGAAAACAAAAAAAACAAAGTATTTCAAGGGGATTTCAGCTCTTGCAGGCCATTATTACTGCTTCACTCTCGGCATAGACTGTATGGATCTTGCTAGTTGAAAAAATTATAGAAAACTGTGAAACCCAGCTTGCTCAGTGCATGGTAACAAGGTGATAAAGCTCTAAATAATTTTCCTGATTAACACTGGTGTTAGAATAATTTTTAGAGATAGTGTCTGATTATAGGCAACAATGTCTGATTAAGACACAAACTCTGATTTTAGACACTAGATAGTAGAAAGTACTGATCGTAAACTCATGTTTGATTTTAAACACTAGTGTCTGATTTCAGACACTTACTGTCCGATTTTAGACACTAGTTCTGATATTAGAGATAAATGGCTGATTTTAGATGCTATTGATGTAGACTGGACACTGCTGTCCAATTTTGGACACTTGTGTCCGATTTAGACGAAAAAATCATACAATGGTATAATTATGTATGTGAGAAGGGGCCTGTTAGACAGGAGTATAAGTCTTAGAACATTTCATTTCTCTACCAATTGAGCTAACCGCCTCCCGGTTAGCTCAATATTATTGGTAGAGCGCCGGACTGTTGTGCGGGAGGTTGTGAGTTCGAATACGGCCGGACCAACACTCAGGGTCTTTAAATAACGGAGAAGAAAGTGCTGCCTTTGTAGTAATATCTGCAAATGGTTAGACTTTCTAGTCTTC